GGGGGGCCAGGGGGCTTGGGGAGGAGGGTGCCATGGGGCACACAACGGGTGCCCAGCTCAGCGGTGGGAGGGCTGTGAGGCAGGTGGCCTCTGGGGAGGGGGTGTGGGGTGTGGCTGTGCCATGCGGGTGAGGGGGCGCTGCTGCTGCTTGGTGCAGCACCTTGTCGAGCTGCTGTCAAACAGCTTTAGGGCCCGATGCAGGGACCCTTCTGCAGCCAGCGTTGGGTTTTGTTGGGTTTTGTGCACACATGGCTTCATCGGTGCTTGATCAAGCTGTTAGAGATTAATACTGAAGTGGAAGGGGCCTTGCGGGTTGTCGCTGGCAGATGATGCCAGGCACTTCCAGCGCAGAGAGGGTGAGCTGAAATTGTCTCAGGTGTCTTTGTTACTTCTTTATCATCACAGGTATAGATAGCAGTGAGCTGTTCAGCACCGTGTTTAACCTCTATCTCAGATGGAGGCATCATTTGAAGGAACCGGGGACAGTGATGCGCCCCTGGGACAGTAAAGAAAGCATCTGAAAGTAGCACACTCAAAAACTGGCCCAGCCCACCCCCAGCAGGGCTATATTCTCTGCAGCTCTGTTGTGTTTTCAATCCAGGAGAGTGTGGGCTGCTGCTGGCAGCTACAGGATGAAGTCGCCTCCCTGCTGCATGTCTCTTTCTTCCCAAGCATCCCTGGAGGAACAAGGGAATAGCACGTCCCTGGGCTCCCTGGACTCCAGTGTTTTCACCAGTGAGGAAGAGCAGGGGCCCTTGCTTCAAAAGGTCATTCCCTCCTTGGACTGTTTTACTATCAATGTAGGAGGCAGCCGCTTTGTGATGTCCCAGCAAACTTTGTCTTGCTACCCTGACACCCGTCTTGGCAAACTGGCTGTAGTGGTCTCTGCTGCCCGGGATGTGGCTTCTGGCCTTCTTGAGCTTTGTGATGATGCCAACCTAGTGGAGAATGAATATTTCTTTGACCGGAGCTCACAGGCGTTTCACTACATCCTGAATTACTACCAGACAGGGAGACTGCATGTGATGGAGCAGCTCTGTGCACTCTCCTTCCTGCAAGAGATCCAGTACTGGGGGCTGGATGAACTCAGCATCGATTGCTGCTCTCGAGACACGCGAGGTC